CAAACCACCAACCTTGTGGTTCCCAGCACAACCTTGTGGTTCTACCCCCTGCGCCACAACGACCCATATCTTGTTTGCATACTTGTTGTGGAAACTCCACAAACGTCGGAACCGTAAATGCGGTCGTGTTTCGATTAATGACATCATCAGCAGACTCCTCCAGGAAGTGCGCCTGGATGACTGCCGCTTCCAGCGCTACTTCAAACCTACCAGTAGCCAGTTTGATGACTTGTTGGGTCGGATCAGGCATTCGATCTCAGCGCCTGCTATCTGCCTCCGGTGAGCGGCAGTTTCCTAAAGTATATTCATGTCAGGGATGCGGGGAAGGCAGGACTCAAACGCAGACTTTAAACCAAAAAGACTTTAATAGTCAGAAACTCCAACGGGCCAAGGGGCAAAAATACAGGCAGGAACCACAACATCCAACAATCAACAATGACGCGACCAGTGACAAGAGACACACACGGCTTAAATACACTAGGGAGGTGAAGGTGATTGGACACAGGTGGAAACAATCAGACAATCACAGGGGGTGACAGGACAAGGCAGGAAGTGAAGTTACCCAGGGAGACAAGAGGCAGAAAACTACAAAATAAGACAGGAAATAAAACCACACATTGACAATTCATGCTTAGGCCGCAGGACGGCGGTGATGATGAGCGGAGCCTCTCAACGCAGATTGGCTTTCGCAAGACGGAGTGGGGCACATTTTTTCCTGAGATATTTCAACCTTGTCCGAAAAGGTGATTTATTCGCTTTGCTCCATCCGCTTCTTCGTATCTTTCGCTCCATTCACTCCATTCACGGCATTCACGCCGCCCTTAAAAAATTTGCGCCCGTACGTTGATTTGACAAGGAATCTACTGACGCTGATAATTCGCTTTGCTTTTAGAGTGAAGGCAGCATAAGCAGCTTGTTAATATTAGTTTTTTTTTCTTTCTATGACTTCAATCTGAATAAAGGGATTTTAGTATTTTGTTCTTCCAAAGCAAGGCCTTTATTCCAGTCTCTACTCTCTAATATTCACTTTATTCTTGTAATATAAGGACATTATTTCTGAAATAGAGGAGTTTAAATACGTCATACTGTTACCTGGCATCTAAAATGTTTTCCTCTTCATATATATAAAGACATTTCCAACATAAATCAACGAAGGAAAAAAATGTTACTATCTAGACGTCCTCAGGAAAAACATTTTTCGAAATCTCGTTTCCTGTCCCTTTTCTAAAACTAAAATACATTATATAATTGTTCTTTTAAGGCAAGGCATAAAAGATACACTCTGATTAAAGAGATTGCTTTGACTATTCAGAGAGATTAGAATAATTAATTCCTAAAGCAAGCATCCAGATTTATGTATTTGTAGATTTTACTGCGATTGGAAGGGTCTGAGACCGTGGCAGGTCACAACACATTTGTTTACTTTCAGCATTATACAACGTGACAAATGTTCAGCAAATCTCTTACAGCCTTAAAGGCCATGTATAATTCATTTGCAGTTGTCGGCCTCGATATCAAAATCTCTCGCCGAGTATTTTGGGAGTGAGAGAGTGCATGGAAACTGTATATAAATGAATGGATCAACAGGGGGTGACATTGTTTTTAACAAGCAGCATTCTTCAACCGCGTTCACAGCGTTCAGTTGCTGCTGCAGGCCCGTTGAGCCAAAATATTTATGGCCTTATTGGCTAACACAGTCCAACCTAGTGCACTCGTCTCACAGAATAAAAAGTGACGAGCAGCACGCCTCACAACTTGATCCATGTGACTCCGATTTCACCTTCGTCACAGAGCCGGCAACCAGCTGTTTATAAATCTGGACAGCAGCTCACTCTTGAGGATGTAGAGGCGAGGAATTGTTTTTCTCTGAAGGTCAATGATGCAACCGCGATACAGCGGCGTGTCTCACAGGGACGTTCTGCTAGTTGCATTAAGGGAAACACATTGTTGACTCATCCGACTTATTGTAAGATTTAAAATGTATCTTTAGAGCAGCCAGTAGCAAAATGTATATTTGATAGGAAAAGTGAACTCTTCTTGTAAGTCAAATATTTTTTTAAAATATGCCTACCCAATTTTAAAGATGTTGATGTATATACAGTTGGTTTTATGGCTGACCGGACCATACCTGATGCTACAGCATAAAGTAACATAAAGGCAATCATTTACACCGATTATGGCAAAATGTTCTCAAAGTTTCAACAAACAAACAAAGAACATTTGCCCAACACAACAAACCTTGCAGAGGTGAATGCAGTCATGATCTTGTTTCACACTGTTCCTCGCAGCGAGAGGGTATCTCACGCATGCAATAGCTGAGGTAGGCTCTGGCTAAGCAACAATACTTTCTGTAACTCATTGTTGAGCACATTTTATGGTGTTTGTACTATTTTCAGTACTAGATTAACACAGTTTATTATAAAGTCCAACGAGTCTTAGATTAAAGTGATTACAGGGCTTTCAATAACTACAATGTAAACCCAAATGCTCAGCAAACTACGAGCAGTCAAACAACCACGGGACTTTGAATCTGATGTTCATGTTCCGAATATATATATATATTTCTATTAAACTAATCAATTGTTAAAATGTGTTTGGATTGATTATTTATGATTTGATGAGACTGTCGAGTCCAAATGTGAAGCAGAAAAAGCGAAATTCAAGCTTAATCTTTTTTTTCTGAATTGTATTTTTTATTTTTTTAATGCAGCCCTACTTTTATTTAGTTAATGGAGAGAACACTATTTATATTTGCAGTCACACATATATGTTCAGTTCTGTTACGTAACAAGAAATATTGTAAAAAGAGTTTTAGAATCATACTGAATTAATTTGATTTATTAGTCGTGTATTGACAGTCGTGTACATGCAAATGTTGATTCAACTCTATGGCGCCGACACTCTATTCCTCTATTTAATCACATTAAGTAGTCACATTATGATCTTCCGGATCTTTGCTTCTAGAAATTTTCTCTAACTGGACCTGTTGACCCTGACATACAATGTGTGGTCTCCTGACATAAACTAAAATATAACGAACAAAGCGTGAGTGTTAAATAGTGTCTCTAACTGGCGGGTTCTGCCTGGTTGGCACTTTCTGCTTTGCTTTCTGACCGTGCATTCCTCAACCAGGATAAGACAGTGACTCCCTAAATGAGCAGTAAGAAAGAACGTTCTCAGTGTGTGAGGTGTTCGGATGAGGACGTGTTGGGTGGACCACATCCGAGGTCTTGGGATAAACATCCCAAATGTGGGATATGATATGAAGATCCGGAACAACCAGGACATTTGGTTGTGGCCATATTTCTGCAATTAACTTGTTGAAGTTGTATTAAACTAGAATACTAAACTTAGGTATGGTTTAATACACTTATACAGCACTGAATTGCCTATATCATTGGTAAAGCTACTATGTGAGCTAAAGATAGACTCATACGTGGCTCAGCCTGATAGCTTCTCAGGCACCGTGTGTCTCCCAGCAGCAGTGTGCTTTGGAAAGGACACGCTGCCATGCTGTCTCATCATGTCATGTCTCCCCTGCTGCCCAGAAGGCCTTGTGAAGTTGTTTGCATTATTATTATTATTATTAGATATCACTGATGCTCATAATGTCCACCTCTTCATAATGAGCCGTATCATCCCACATCCAGCAGAGCCTCTCTGTCTCACCCTGTATGGACTGTCCTCCCTTGCTCCCCCCCTCCAGTGCTTTCCAACCGCTGTCACAATTAACCAGCGGCCTTCCTCTGAATGAACCTGTCAGCACATAGTGTGTGGGTGTATCTGCAGGAATTATTTCCCCTGCATACTATGGAATGCTGTCTGACTGAATATACACCCACTAGTATCCAAATTTAGCAAATTGGGTCAACTGTTCAGGGCCGGTATACTGAAGAAAGTACAGCTTCCAAACGGTTCATCAAAATGTATCAACATCACAAGTGCATTGGTATAAACTCCTAGAGTTTCCAAGCAGGTTCTTCCTGGGGAGCTGGAGTTCTACCCAGAAAGCGTTTCAATAAGAAACCTTTTCACCAAAAAGAACTTTCTGAACAAAAGAGTCCTTCAGCGGTTGAAAGCATAGTTGCTGTAATCCATAATCCCTTACCGCACAAATGATTTATTTGGGTCGCACTGCACCAGGATGTCGTATGAAACGATTCTCAGCAGTTTCATTTCTTAGCGTACACACCGACGAGGACGGCTACTCATTTTGGCTAAATTTCTTGAATTAGTTTCATCAGATTGACAAAAATGTGTATTAATTTGACTTATATTGGAATCTTTCACTCTGTCTTGATTTTTTTTTGTATTCAAAACGTTCTGTTGTACAGCTGTGTTGTTACTTTCTAGGATGTGTACAAGGTACACGTGTGTTCATGTTTTTGCTCAATCAGCAATAAAGACATTGGGACTTTGTATAATAGTGTACAATAACTGGCTTTCCTGCAGTATCTCCTCATCTGGACGGCTGTTTTTCTAACTAAACTAAAATATCTGATAATATTGATGCAGAAATATCTTTAGGGATTCATTAATTCTTCACTCATTCCCCCAAAACTATAAACCCCCAAAAGAGGCAACGAAAAGTAACCAGTGTGGTCACCACGTCCCAAGTGTTTACGTTAATAGCACGTTAACGTTTTTTTAATTATACAAGCCGTTACTTTTCCTCAGCTGCTTTTGTTGTTGCTATTTCAATTGTTGTGGCTCTGCGGATGCCATTTATCTTTCAGATTTTTGCATCATTTTTCCCCCCAATGTGACTTTTTGCATTGTTGGGACACATACTGTACAGTAGACTGATCCATTAAGTTCTCAACGGGGTTGTTGCTGTGTGGGTTGGTTGAATTATAAGTGTTGTTGGGGAAACATCACATTGGTTTCAGGGTTGTTGATGGTAAACACCTAAAAAGTACAATAACATCATACTTACAGTATTATACCTCGTTACTGTGAACTGTGAACTGAGTCTGGCTCCTCCCCCTGGTTGTTTGCAGACGTTTGCGGCCAGCCCCTTCTCCGAGCCCATCATGGTGAAGCTCCACAGTGGGATGACCCGACAGACTGAGGACGCGGAGATGCTGTGGGTCATGGGTCCCGTGCTGGCGGTCATTCTCATCATCATCATAGTCATTGCCATTCTGCTCTTCAAGAGGTGAGTTTGACAGTGAAAACAAATCCCTTGTGGTACGTCCCACAGGGGTGTGTGGGTAAAGAGGGAACATAAGGCCGAGGTAGTCGGGCTTTGATTCACTTTTCGGTCTGGCGAACTAAACCAACAATGGTTCAAAGGGAACTAAATCATCAACTTTCATTCAAACATAGCTGCACAGCTTCCTAACAGGCCATTTTCAAATTTAAGAAACTGCCTATTTCCATGGTTGACTGTAAGTATTTAAAATATCATTGCCACTAGTTTGTCCAACATAGTGACATCTGCCATATAAGAGCGAGCAAGGCTGCGTTTACCGTAAAGGCAGTGCGTGTTCATTGTGTTCCCTCTTAAATCCAGAGAGACACCCCAAGCATTTTCTTCACAACAGATGACAAGAAAACTTTACGAGCATCAGGCACCAACATTTGTCTTTACCGAGCGAGCCGGAAGGCCGAGGCCAGCAAATGGGAGGGGGGGCGCGGCGAGCAGCCCCGCGGCGCGCTCTCCCAGGCTAACAGTTAGCTCGCACTTCCTGTGCACGGATGAAACATCTGGAGCTGCTGACCGGGCCGACGGGGGCGTCCATATGGCAGCTGCTCTGCTCTAAGTGGACACACTTGTTTAGTCTTTTTGCTCGTTCACTTGACGTCCTTGTTCAGTAAGAGGAAAGCACTTTCTTTTCCAACACCAAAGTGACCTTTTCTACTCTTATGAATGAAGTATTTAGAACGTTACTGCCCAACATTAAAGTACATTTTAAGACTAATATTGTGCTGAAAATGGTGTTTACTGACAAACTGTGTTGAAGGAAACCCCAAATGTAAAAGGCAAACCTATACACAGATAGTACCCTACTATCCCTTTATATACCACATATATTTTTTAAAAGGCAACTTCTACTTCACACAAGAGGCCTTTCAACACTTACACCAAAGGCTTAGTGTTGTAGAGTCATTGCTTCCTGTATTCATCTCTCCTTTAAAAAAAAAAACTACTCCTCGTGTGATCGATCCATAATGCATCAAATGTCTAAGTGGCCAAATGGCCGATGCAGCAAAGTCTACAGATGGAAACTCTAGTCGGCGAACTACACACCACTGGTTTTTATTCTGTATTTTACGGAATAATTCAAAGGTTAATTAACAACTTTGACATTGTAGTTATTATTATTTATAACTTATATAAACATGGTGAGCATTAGTCCATGTTGGTGCTGTAATGTAATGTGCTCTCCTGTCGCTGTGACACTGTGGCAATCCCACTGTCGACAACTTGTAAATGTGGCCGTTCTCTCTCTGCTTCCTCGTTCTCTCTGCCTGCATTCTGCGGCCGCAGCAACCAAGAAAGGTTAGTGCCTCTCTTCGTTCTTCTCCCCCGCTCCCCCTTCCCCTCCTCCCCCCACACCCACCCACACACACCCTCGAGGTGCTTTCTGACAGCGATGCTGTGCAGTGACAGATGCTGGTTGTTTCTGCTACACCTTTCAGCCCGCCACTGTCATGGCAGCTTCTCTGAGCTTTTTTCTTCATCTGAGACATATTCCCTTAAAGTGACAGTTCTCGCAAGTGTGTGTGTGTGTGTGTGTTTAACTTCGTTCTTTAAGTGTGTCCTCTGCTGCTCAGCTCTAATCCTCCCTTAGCGTTTGGTTCAGCTCACACACCTTCAGCTGCAAAGCGACAGGCCTTAAAAAAAGTCCACCTGCGGTACCCTTAGGCCATGACTGACATCACGATGACCTTTGCAGTTCTCTGCTTGTGTTTTCTGCTTGACCTCACGGTCTTCATCAGTAGCACATACCTAACCAGTCACTTGTGTTTCACAAAGTGTTGCCCGAACTGCGTTATCTGCGTCTAATTCCTGCTGCCACTAATGCTTAGTGCATTTGGAACATTTTGAAAGTTCAGTGCGCTTCTCTTTAATCAAATTGGTTATTTTTTATTGTATTGACTTTCCCATAATTACATTTCTTTTTCTTTAATTATTATTTTTGTGTACAAAAATTTCACAATGTTCATTATGTATTTAAAAGCCCTAATTAACCATGTTTTAACTGTTAAGAGTAAGTTATACTTAACGCACCGATGTGAATAGTGGGTTACATTCAGTAGAGTTCTCTTTTTTGGGGCTCAGCTAACCCCCCTCAGACTGGGGGATCAGAAAAACAAAAGCCAAGCAGATCTACTCCAGGGGGGCGGATCTAGTTTTGCAAGCAGGATGTCAAGTTTCATTTCTCAATGACAGCTTGATGAATTATGCGCGTAAACATTAAGAAGCCCTCAAAAACATGCATTATTTTTATGTCCTCTTTGCTTCTCCCTCCTCCCCCCCACACATTAGACAGATCCCAGACAGTACTTAATACTGATGCAGCACCACGTGTCCTTAGTCCTGCTCTCAACCTCTTTGTTTCTTCACATTCATGTGGGGAAATATTAATAAGCAATGCCGTGTAAACACACACTTTAAATCCAGGTGTGGAAACAGCCACGTAGGCATTAGACATTAAAAATGACTGGCAGCCTAACATTCTAACATTCCCTGCTTTCTATTACATATTCTTCTCAATATGAAAAGTCTCCTCACTGGGGGGTGAGGCCTCCCTTTTTTTCTTGTAATCAGTGACCAAACCCTATTTCAAATGTATTTGATTCCTAACGACCATCTACTGTGATGTAGAATTATTGTTAAATTAGATTAGATATCAGTATGTGTGGTAGCACAGATGAGAAGCCTTATCAATAACTACTTAGAAAAGACCAATCTTCTTGCTCACTTCGTCTGTCCTTCAATACTTGATAATAGAATACTTCAACATCTTCAGCAGCACCTCAATTTGCTTTAACTCCAGAATCACTCAGAAGTAATACGTCAATATATTAGATATATTGTGGATTTAATGGATTGACGTGAAAAAGGTATTACTAAAAATCACAAGTCACAAACTATTCATAAATGTAGTAAATTGTTAAATAAATATATGGCTGTTACAAGCGGCGTCACACATGGATCCCTTCCTCCCTTTGCCAATAGCCTGTTTCTTACTATTTGAAATGGTGGCGGAGATGTTTTCAGAATCAAATGTTTTCATGTTTTATTAGTTTAAATTAGAAAAATACCAGTCATACCTTATTATAAAAAGACAGAAGTGAAGTCCTTCTTAAATCATCCCCTTTTGTAACTTTACACATGACAGATTTCTTTCCCACCTACACTTCGAGCTATAAACATCATTCATATATGCACAGATAATTATCTCTAGGATCAAATCCTAGAATCTGTCATACAGAGAAAGTGATCTTGAAAACATACCAATCCAAATATTCACCCGTAGTTTTACCACAACTCATTCCTCCATGAGTCAGTCCCATCTGAACACAGACATTACTCACGCCTCGTGGTACTCATTCTTCACAGTGGTGTCCCCGTGTCCAATATCCATCAAGTGCAGACATTCATAATAGCGCATTTCTTTTGTCAATAGTTTTCTCAAAACTGTGTTTTCATCTGGACCATTTTATAGATAGTAATGCAATATGTTGTGGATCATCAGCTGATGTCTCCTGATTTGTTTTATTTCCCATTAACCTTTGCTGTGTGTGAAAGAAAATGTTCCTGGTGTGAGAAAGCATTTAACGCTCTCCCCACTTCTTCATTTCCCCCCCAGAAAACGAACATCCCCAGCCAAGGAAGAGCACATGGCAGGGGTCAAGGACTCATTGCTGGCCCACTCATCAGACCCTGTGGAGATGAGGAGACTCAACTATCAGACTCAAGGCATGGACACACACACACACACACACACACACCAAATGGATACTCACACACACGTGCACATATAGTCATGCCTGGAAGCAGACTCTTCTGGAGGTCCTTGTGTGCTTAGTTGGTTGCTGTAATAATAGTCCCAGCTATTTGTTTAGTTTTTGGACTCTTTCAGAACATTCTGTTGTGTACTATAATTCACAGTATTAGTGTGGAAAGGGGGTGAGCCTCTAGTGCCTGGTTTACACGAATATTAGTTTAAAAAGGAGGCGAGAAAATAAAATACTTCGCAACTGTATTGTACCGTCACCGAAATAAAAAAACAATGACGTTAAGGACAATACACACAATTGTTTTCTGTTAAGCACAGCGACCATCAGGACGACAACATATCATTGTGCTTTTCTAAAGGGCTACAAATGATGACTACGGTTTAGGCACAGAAATGATTCACGTTACTATAATGGAAATTGGGTTAAGGACAGAGGACGGTCACGAACATTTATATAACATCACCTGACTCCCACAATTACTTTCTCTCATTTTATTCCCACTTTGCGTTCTGTCAGACTTCTTTCCCTCACAGTTACTTTTTTTTTCAACCCTTCCAACTATTTCTCTTATCTCGTTCTCCCACCTGTCTTTCAGTGGGTGGTTTTAAACTCACTTGTCAATGTGCTCCATCCATGTTGTTGTTTTTTTTTCTCAAATCAGATGTTTGGCATTTATCTGTGGTAGCAGTGGGTGGGAATTTGGCAGATGTTGTTTACACCAACAGACACTCATCAAGTCGTTTTGCTGCCAACCTTTGTTCTCCCTTCAGTGAACGCTCACTGGGTCGCCTCAAAGCCTCAAAAACTTTGAGATCTCCTCAAACACACAAAAAACGTTGGATGATTTGAGCTTTAGTTAAAGATGCTTCACTGTCCTTGAGAAAAAATATTTCACAACACGTATTTGAAAGTTATGGGTAGAATGAAATTGCTGATGAGTTATTTAATTATTTTTCCTAATAGGGAGTTTATGTGATAAATTCAATGATGTACATGCTCAATTGAAAATCGTTTTGATAATGTTTTAAAACAGTTCTGGTGAAAATATTAAGCTATTAGTAACATTAAATATACTCTCCAATGGATTTTATATTTTATGAATACTTAATACTTAAATATATATTTAATTCTGTGTAATTACCTACAAAAGTCTAGATTCAAGGTGCCCTGTTAGACTGATCAGGGTCAATAGGGAAATACTTTCCACAGCACTGCCAAGTTGGAGAACCTTTTACCAAGTGTTATCAATTTGGACCATCAGGAAGTGACCATCGATAGCCAGCATCAGATGACATCAGAACCTGATTCCTTTGCCAAATGATTGAAGGGATATTGGATTTCAGAAAAAAAACCTGAACAAAATAAAGCATGAGAAAATAGGGAAATAAAGTAAATTGGTAAATTTCCAGGAGACAGGCTTATAGGTGGTGGACTGACCAATCAAACAATCCTAAATTACCAACAGCCGCCATGGCTTAATACTGAAGTCACTTTATCTCTGCCAGGATATACGTTCAATATTTTGCAGGGCAGAGGGCAGCACAGACACACAGCTCCCTGTACCTTTTCATTTCTCTGTCTTCTCCCAACTGACCCCTGTTCTGTTTGTTTTGCCTGGTCTTTCCTCCTGCAGGTTCCAGTGTCCTCAGTTGCCCGAACACTCCAAGTTAGTTTCCATCCCTATTATTTTTTACTAATGCTTCCCCCCATTCCTGCTGACTTCCCTTTCTTTCTTTGCCGTACACAACATCTATTTGGACAAGAGCCCTTTCATGTAGCACTATCACAATCTCTCATGGTCTGCCCATGACAGCCGTTCACACCAAATGGTTGTCAATAAAACTGAAATATAGTAAAAGACAGACAAAGATACAAGAAATAGTATAGTAGAATAGTAGAAAGAAAATATCAGTGTGAGAAACACACTCCTGCACTTTCCTACTTACCTATTGTGTACTGGGATTTATTTAACCAATCACCATGCTCCTTCATGCCCACAGTGTGGTAATGGCTGTTGAATAGCGGCACAGTCGTAGGTCATAGGTCGTAGGTCATACCTCCCCTGCACATGCAGCGCCCTCACTGTCCCACATCACCCTGAAGTTAGCTTCGAACCTCCAACATGCATCTGCACTCCGTTGCACTGGCTAGTTCATGTTTCGGTGTGTGTGCGTGCGTGCGTGCGTGCGTGTGTGTGTGTGTGTGTGTGAGATGGACTATACTTACCACTTCCCCTCTCACCACAGGGATGAGGGAACATCCTCCCGTCAGTCTGTGCGATCTGACAGACTACATCGAGAGGCTCAAGGCCAACGACAGTCTTCGCTTCTCTCAGGAGTACGAGGTAAACTCCTGCTGTTAAACACTACATGTCATTCACCAATTAAGATCTATGGGCCACCATGCAAGATGTCACCGAGCCATCAGCACCGTGGACTGTATGTATAGCGAGACGCTAATGTTGACGGGGGGGCTTTCATGGTGCTTTTTGTGTGGCTTTGCCTAAAGAAATAAGACATAACAACAGACCGATCCATTGACAGGGTTCATAAAAGGAGAACATATATTTACATATTTTCTGCTGTACATTGGGGGGGGCAGATTGGAATTTCTTTAATATTGGGAGGGACACGACCCCCCCCCCCCAAAGAATGCGTGGTTACGCCCTTGCCGTTTTGTTGTAAAGATGTGAAGAAGTTGTGGAAACTCAAAATGATTAGAAAAGCAGCTGGGACAAAGGATTTCTTTGTTGACCTGTCAGGGTCAACTTTTGACAGCTGCAATGTTTTTACAGTTGACGAACGAAGTTGAGTTTTAGTCAACAACAGATCCAGTGACATTGTTTTTACACTTGATTTCTCCACTTTCACATTTTCCAAGATTTTGCTTTCATCCGTTAGAAAGTCAGAAGCTTCTGCTAATCTCCTTGTCGTTGCGAAGTGTGTAATTAAATGAATTTATGTTCCAAAGTCAGGCCTTTTCACTTCAAAGGATGAGTTTGAAGTTAAACGTTTATTAATTCATTTTTTACAAGCACTCTGAGCATATTCTACCCAGCATGCTTTTCACAGAGTGTGCAGGCACATAAGAAAAATATTTGTCATCTTTGTCACTTACAGCAGAAACGTACGATATTTTTTACAACAGCTGTCTAATTCTTCAGCTGTGTTTTTTTTCATCTCCGTTTGGATGTGAACTCCAGGTTCCAAATTAAAGCTACACAGGCCACAGCCCAGCTCGGGGACGGGAAAAGGGTTCACTTAGAGCCATGAGCATGTTTCATGTAGACGAGCATCTCCTCTTAGCAAGGTGACACTGTTTGGTTTTAAGACAGTTCAGGAAAGAGCAGTAAAAGTATTGCTCTATTGACCTGCAGGTGTCTTTTGCGTGTAGCTCTGTGGAAATTGCTATTGCTTTCAGTCAGGCCAGAAATGAAAATATATTTTCTCTTGGCCATCTGGTAAATCCACATTCTATTTCCTCACTGAAATACCCAACGTGGTACAATTTACAGGCCAATTTTCCGCTGGTGTTTCCACTCATGTATCGAGCTGTCTTGCAGAATTGCAAAGTCCAGGGTTGTTAAAAAGGAAAAAAAAAGAATGCTGCTAAGTGTGCATAAATCTCTGCAAGCATAATATCACACTGCCTTTACCTACTGTAAAAGCCAGTGAGGGATTATGGCTTGTTGATGTCCTACAAAGGAAGGTAATTTGCATTTAAAGTGGTGAATTTCCAAATGGATAAACCAGGACAGATGGGTGCACTGTTTATGCAGGAAGGGGGCATGTAAACTATGAAACATCAGCTGAATCAACTTTTGTACCTTTGCAACTACTTTCCTGTCCGATTTGGCAACATTGGATTATGGAGATCGCTGACAATATTTTGTTGAGCCGAGCAAAAAAAGAGGCAATACTCGGATGCAACGGACTCAACACGAGCAATGAAACACCGCACACCCACACACACACACACACACACACACACACACACACACACACACGCACACTTACAAATGTCCTCCTGGGCCCACCAGCCATTAGTCCATAGTAAGAGCAGCAGGGCTTGAAATGAAAAGCTGATAATGGCTGTAGGATCTCACAGCTTGTTACATCTGATGAATGAGTCAGGGGTCTACCAGGGGCCGCGTCACATTCTGAAGCCACTACATCGCAGGCGCCCTACTGTTACTCTTCCCTACTATTCAAATTTGCCCTAAATTAATAAAAATGTGCCAATAGCCAAATAAATGAAAATGAAACTAATAATGAAAATGCATTAATAATGAGTTTGGTCTTTTTGTGGTCATAGTTCATCTTTCTTATACTTATTGGGTTTTTCTGTACAGCAAGAAATAATCATAGACAAACATATGTTCAGTGCATCTGTGTTTGTGTGTCTAAGTGGGAAATTGAAGCTGCAGAAGGGATCAGAAATAAAAGGTCAGAAATCACATTCAAGCCAACAAGGACTTCTGTAATGTATGTTAAAATGATTCCAATCCTTAACTGGGGGAACAAGGCAGCGGGTGACGAGGGCCAACCTGCCACACACCAATCCACACGCTTGGCGCTGGGCTCCTCCTCCCTCCGCGCGCACGTAGTTGTTCGCTGTCAGTGGAGCTACAGCTCCGTCAGCGTGATGCACTGACGCACTCGGTAAGCGAGCTCCACGTCAGCGGAGCACATTAACAGTAATGTGAGGGGTTTGTCCGTGCAGCGCGCTGGAAGCCTTACCTAACAGGCTGTTAAATAAGATGTGCATTCAACCTCGCCATTGTCATTATTAGCAGTTGTTGGGGGGAAGTGAGGAGGAAAGGCGGGAGGATATTAGAATCCTCGTCACGGCTTTGTTTTGCTCGTGCGTGTGCACTTGTGTTTGTTTTCCAGATGATGCAAGATAAGTAGAAGCGTGAAAGGTCAATCATGAAAAACAATCTTCAGCATGTCATTATTTAGCTTAACCTGCAGCAGCATCCACAGCCTGCGATCGATAGAGACAAATCATCGGGCAGCACAGCAGAAAAGCTGTCTGCACTATGTCAGCACTCCAACACATCTGGAATACAGCAGGGATTTACAAATGTGAAAAAGAATGAAGAAGTAGAAAATACTATTTAGAGAAGCATCTTTCACCATCACCACCATTTCATTGCAAGATGGAAAAGCATTGAGGGAGACATGAATGGTGAAAACAGGGTAGTTAACCAAATAAGCAAACAGGTGTTAATATGTATATATGAAGTCATTGCCGAAGTCCCCTAAATCTGCATTTCCTGCCCTGTTATGCTTGTATAGAAGTGCTTTAGTTTCAATTCTTAAGTCAGTCTATTCAAAGTCTTTGAATAGATTTCAATAGCCCGTAAACCAGAGCCTGCTTTAAGGCGGGCTTACTGTATTGACAGGTTGCTACCAGAGATTCAATTTCCAAAAGTAGTTGGAGCAGCAAAACTAAGTGTAGATAGTTTATCAAATGATGTAATTCAGCGTAACAAAGCAATGACTAAAATATACAGCTTACCATATAGATCAAGAAGACTGTACGTCCATGTTGGCAGCACTTTGGTTAGATGAGAATTCCTTCTTCAACTATTCAAGCTTTAACAATCATAAAATCTATGAAGTAGAATTTTGACTAAATGTGCTAAAAGAAAAGTCTGCCGCCCACGGACGTGTGCACATGTGGATCCGACCACGCTGACTGTTCTCATGCAGTGACCCCAATGTCAACCGTTTTTACCTGCTGTCCCTTTTGGTTGTGTTGAGAAATCCAAATCTAGCACAATGTGTTCCCTCTTGATATTACGCTAGTGGTCCGCCATTACTCAACCTCATGTATGCCACGTTCCTCCAAAACCTTTTGGCATCGCTTTACCTTCGTCAACGGATCTCTCCTTTGTTATTATCGGTCTCTGAGCTGCGAAGGCTGGAAAGTGTCCAAAGAGTCCATTGTGTATCCAGGAGACTCAAAGATCATCCAGGGCTTTTCATATTATCGAGCCACAGGCCGGCTAGAGGGATGGCGATTTACTTTCTGTGTCATATTTATTGGTTTGGACTCTTCGCTCTGACAGGTTGTAAGAAGCAGCAAGAGAGGCAGTATTGTAATAAACGCTTACCTGCTCACTCTCCCTCGCTCCCATCTGTGTGTATTCCTCTCCTCCAGTCTGTGGATCCAGGACAGCAGTTCACCTGGGAGCACTCCAACCTGGAAGTCAACAAGCCAAAGAACCGCTATGCTAATGTCATTGCCTATGACCACTCCAGGGTCATCCTCACACCTGTGGACGGTGAGAGAAACCTCTTCAGACGTCTCACCGGCCTTCAATTCAAACCCTTTGCTTTGTATTTCCCCTTGTTAGTGTAGTCCATCTTGTTTTAGTAAGAGAAATAGCCGTATCCGTCATTTTATTGCTAACTTTGTCGTACTTGATCCTCACCGCAGGAATTCCAGGCAGCGACTACGTCAATGCCAACTACATTGATGGCTACAGGAAACAGAACGCCTACATTGCCACACAGGGGCCGCTGCCGGAGACGCTGAGCGACTTCTGGAGGATGATTTGGGAGCAGCGGACCTGCACCGTAGTTATGATGACCCGCCTAGAGGAGAAGTCCCGGGTGAGCCTTCCAGCATGTAAAAGCAAAAAATGCACCCGTACCTCTCTGGAGCCATCTGGGCTACTGTAGGAACGTCGCAGAGGACCACAGTGTGTCGATACGAGGGGCTTGATTATCCATATTTGCAGATTGTTTGATTATAGCGGCCAGAGTACAAAAATACAGACTTTTTTTTTTGCCACCATCACAAAAATGATTTTGACTAAAGACAATAAACCATCCTTCTAGAATTAACATGATCCTCCCACACTGCTATTATTACACGCAGCAACTTGTTAAACAATGCATAATGCTTTTACAATTCAAAGCAAACTAATTTGCTCGTCTCAGTTAGCTCGTCAGCTACGTACTTCCAATACGTAATACCAATTACTATCCAATGCTTATTCCACTGCACTAAATGGACTCCTACAACACTAGAAGGCTCCACTCTTTTTTTAGCACACCGTCCCAAAAGTCAGTAAACTGAAAAAAAAAAAAAAAAAATCTAAAATTGTGTTCACAACAAAAGTAAACCCAATATCTAGGTCATGTTATTCTCGTGAGTTTATATTTGTCCCAAATATCCAGGGAAACTAAATGACGTCTTCACCATCCAAAAGCTAAGCGAAGGTTTCTTGAAAATGGTTTAGTTTATGGGATAGTTTATTTATTTACGTAATTCGCACCGTGGGGGGCTCCCTCCGCCTGGACAAGCGTTCATCAATCATGGCTGGAAACAGCTTTTGCTGTTTTTCTACATGTTGTGGAGGTCCCCGATATCCGGGGGAACTATATGCTGTCGTTTGCACAGGCAGGCTTTCGCAAGACATGGATCATTTGCTTGAGTAGGAATATTATAAATCAGGAGAATACGCCAATTAGCCCGGATTTTGTGTATTTGCCACATTCGTACCCGAGTCTACTCTCATCTATTTGCTTGTTTGCAGTGATAGTATGACATTTGCTTTGTGTTTGGTGTGAAAACAGCATAAGCCTCACAAATAACCCTTAAAACCCTTTGCTCTCGGTAGCAAATAGTTGTGATTAGAACTTCCGCCTTCAAAAAGAACCCTAATAAAACCCTTATTTCTTATTTCTTAACCTCTACTGTGTGCATTGAAACTATATGTACACAAACAAAAAACTACATTGTTGCTTTCAGCTACTCTTAAAACAGTTTTTCCCAGGGTCCAGGAATTCGCCGTCAGTCACATGGCAGATGAGAGCTGGCGGGGCACGGCCACTTTTCACGAGTAATGATTTCACATCTTTAATAACTCCACAACCAAGGGGCAAAACTGAGTACCACGCTATTATTTGTGACAGAGACCATCCACCCTCTGCCAGAGCCAATAACCCCGGTTCAACCGGAGGTGCAGGACATATTAGGGCTTCTAACTTGTAATGGCGGGTTTCTGCTGGTGTGAGGGACTCAAGTCAAACATTTGAGTATTTATTAACAAAGCAACCCAGACACCTAGAATATTGTCTGTGGGCCCCTCACCCTCATGGCAACAAAACCAGGGTAACTAGTAATAACTCTTACGCCTACTAAGACTAGCACGTAAAGGTATCTAATCCTATGTTTTAAATGACCTGACTGGATATCCTGCACCTGAGCTTTGCCAGAATCTGGCTGAAATGTGAAGAATAGGAAATGGAAAAATCAATCTTGTTCTAGAACTGCAGTGATAAGTTGTGTAAGCAGCAGCAGTAAATTGCACAATATTTTTTTACAGCCCATCAAGGTCAGGCAGACAGGCATCTCCAACAGCCAAGTAACTCACCTTGTAATGGCTTCGGTCGGACCTTTGACACAATAACTTTGCTTTTTTCTTAAGACAGCTTGAAATGCCAGCATCTCGTATATACGTTTTTTTTTTCTTATATTCAACTGTGTTTACTCAAACTCAGGATCCACCCTGATCGATCCGGTGGCCTACGACTCCATGGCTTTAGCTCGATTCCACCTCCATCATTGTCCTAATACACAACAAAGAAACAGCAGAACTTAAAGTTCACACTTCAAAGAAAATGTTGGTACTCCAATGAATTTTAGGTGGCAGTTAACCATAAGCTATGAAACGATTCCCTAATCACATTACTTGTCAGTTTTCTATCTCTTCTTCTCTTTTTTCTGTGACCCCAGAGGACTTTTGTATTTGTGACATTATACATACTTACGCGGATACCAATGTCAATTGCGTTGATGTTACGAGCTCCCAAATACATTTTGCATCAGTTAAAAAATAGCATAAGTTACAAGTTTATTTACTTTCACATTTCTTTTGGGTTGTCCCTGTGGATGGATGGCGACCATACGGAAACTTGCAATGCTGAGAATCGAGAGAGAGAGAGAACACTTTATGGTTAATATATCAAGTGAAATGAAGTGAAACTTAATTAAGTGATGTGATGTTTGTTAGGGTGGGGGGTGAGGTGAATTTGGTGGGCCCAAAAGCACACGCACGGCAGTCTTGGATCTTCAGCCAAAATTAGTTTTATTTTCTCACAAAAACAAACAAGGGAAACACGGGAAACAGAAAAGGCGCTCCTCTGACTCAACTGGAGTCGGGAGGGAAACTCCACCGACGTCTGGCGGTCTGGGGTGGCTCAAACAGGGTCTGGTGTGGATACCCGAGGCCCGACACCAGATTCACAGTCCAACTCGAAAAAAAAGGGCAGGTTACGTGCACTCCGAGGTACTCCGTGGATCTGACACCAAAACAAACCAAAAACATGAATCAACTGGTCTAGCTGCTGAATCTAAGTATCTACGGCACCTGAGACCAGCCTGGGTACTGGGGACGGACTGACGACGAGCCTCAGACAGCAGGAGCCTTTATACTCGTCACCAGTGATCCCCGGAATGAGCCAC